CTACGGGCTCAGTACCGACTGTTGAGCACGGTGGTGGTAGCATCATGCTGCGGGATTGGTGCGTTGTATTAGCTGAAGCCATAAACAAAAGAGACATACTACCTTCAAATCCTTAATTTTTACCCAAAATGATCAAATTGTGATAGATCTGGGCATTCCATCTGGACAAACGAATCAGAGTTGATATCTTATTGGATAAACCATGATAATGTGAATATAATGTTAAAACTGATTAAAAGCTGAGTCTGTTCCAGGAAAAATACTGAAATAACTCAACCAGATAATAGAGTGATCAGCTGTACCATAAGCTTGTTGATGCTACAGAACTTAATTCAAATGCAGCTTGTTTGTAACCAATCATTAGTGGGCTTTGACCTTTTTTGTGCTTCCCCCAGAGCCAGTTTGAGTCATCCTGCATAAACACCAATGAATTCCAATTCACCCTGTTTAATTGTTGTTTTTAAAATCAATGAAGTTGAATGTTGTTGAATTTTCCCAACTGGGGAAATAAAAAATCTCAGATGAATCCATAAAAGCCCGAAGGAAACATGACAGTCAGGCCCTTGGTGAACTTCTGTAAATGTGATGATGTCATGTTTCACAGCTCGTTTTCACCTTTGTCTTGTTATCTCGCACTGCAGGCTGATGTTCTGTTATCAGCATTTAAGGTGATGATGTCACCGTTTACAGCCTGCCTTTGCAGCCCCTTAAGTGGCCAGTAAACCACTTATTGCAAGTTTGTTAGTATCTTCCCTAATAAAAGGTTGCACTGACCTTTGTCTGCTCTGTGTTTTACATGTTGGCACTGAAATGGAAGGAGCAACAATGCTATCAATCACTTCATGTATCTCTCACTAGAAGGTAGAGAAGCCGACCCACAGGGGAGAAACCATTCTGCTTTATTTAAAGCATTGTCTGAGATACATCACATGTGGATGAACTTTATTCACCGTGTCTCTGTCAAGCATGTGGCAGTGTGTTATCCAACTGCTTGTTGCCAGGTTACACGGAGTGAATAATACAGGATTAGGAGAAAAGATGCAGAACTGATCAAATCAAGTCTGCTCAGAGAGAAAATGTGAAAATGAAGAGTGAACAGGAGACAGAAATGAAAAGAAATGTGATGTCATGCTGAGAAGAAGACCAAAGCACTATGGGTTTGGCCTGATGGCTTTAACAGCTGCATAAAGCCAACTCCCTTATGTTTTGGAGTATCTGATGATGAATTATTGTCTAATAAAACATCTCCTGAGGTGAATTACTCATTCCTGAAATAAATAAAAAACAACCCAGTGTATGAACATGACTCCTCACAGTGGTGTGAGGTAATTCAGTATTACCCTGATGGGTCGGCCTTAAAGGGACAGTGCAGATAGTAATTATAAACATGGGTTCTGTGGAAATGTGGAACGACCTCAGTTTGGGGAAAGAGAGAATCAAACGTTATTTCAAAAACCTCTATGATCGATGCTGTACATTTTATATATTTCTGGCAGAAATTTGTCACATGGAACTGGAATGGCAGCAATCCATTTTGGTCTCGGCCTGATTTTGACTAGCTGACTTCTTGTTATTTAGTTGTTGTATGAAAGTTGTCCTGAAATATTATTTATTTACTTTTTCATTTCTATTTGGTGAGTTGAACATAGTTTGAAGCTACAGTTGGTGTTTTCTTTCTAGATCAAACCATTAGAGGGAGACAACAGCTCAGTCTTTTTACATATGCAGCCCCAGCAGTCATTGGGACTAGATGTAGGACATCCTGGACAAGTCACAGGTCCACTGCAAGGCTGCAGGGCCCACCCACACCTAGGCCCAGTTTAGGGTTAACCTAACAAAGAAAAAACCACACATTCTTCCACAGATGTGTGTGATGGTTACCACATTGATTTAAGAAAATTATAAAGTTAGACTGATTTGGTGTTTGGGGTGACGGTGGCAGAGGACTTAAGTGCATGCCAGAGGGCTGCAGGTTGGCACTCCGCTCAGTGTGTTACAGTCGTTGTGTCCTTGGGCAAGACAGTTAACCCTCCTTCTCTGCTGGTGGTGGTCCCGGGGACCCGAGGTGCCTGTGTACGGCAGCATCGCCTCTGTCAGTGTGCCCCAGGGCAGCTGTGGCTACATTGTAGCTCATCACCACTAGTCACTGTAGTGTAAAGCACTTTGGAGTCCTCTGACTCAGAAAGGTGCTATACAAGTGTGGGTCATTCATCAGCTGAACAAAATGCAGGATAGGATGAACGACTGATTCCTAATGTTTTAATCCCACTTCATTCATTGTTTGTCTCAATCATTTAAGTGTTTCTTTTGTTTAGTGTTATTGTTGTTTATCTAGATCTTAAAAACAACAGTCTGTGAGAGCTGTAACGTCTAACATGTGAGTCAGCCTTATACGGCGCTGCGACTGCTGTGTCTTTAAAACTCCACACTGTTCCTGGCTTCCTGCCCAGAGCCTTTATTTCCCTTTCACATCCAGCCACATGGACTGGACTCCGCCACGCAGAGAGAACAAGGATTTTCCCTCTGACAGCAGTTTGAACGTGGGCCGTACGAGAGCAGAACCTCATCAGGAACCTCCACGCTGACCCGCCACCACCTGTCCATCTGCAGGAAAGTCAGGTGAGATGAAACAGGTGCACCATGATTCACCGTTTGTTTGCTGTTGAAACTTTTCGATGTTTATCTGCTGACTTTTGAACAGAACAGCAGCTTACTGGGTTTGCTGGTTAGGGTTAATGGTTCTGCTGCCACATGAGAATGATTGTTTTCTGAAAACAAAAGCTCTTTTCACAAATCTCCTCTATGTGTTGCCTTTGTCAGGTGGACTTTCACTGGAGCAGAATCCTTCTGCAGAGGTTTCTGAATGTTTCTATGCTTCTGAAAGAAAAACTAGTCAGAAAAGTTTGATTAAAGGCTGAAAGTTTGTGTTGTGTGCTTCCCCCAGAGCCAGTTTGAGTCATCCTGCATAAACACAAAAAAAAACTGTATGAATGAATGAAGCATGGCACGGGAACAGAACCACCATCCGTTATCTTGTTGTAGTAAACAAACAGATAATTCTCTGTAAACGTCCTGTCTTGTTATTATGTGAAACACGCAGAAGCTTCATCCCGATGCTGCTGAAGCTTCTGGACTGTAATTTTCTGTGGAATCGAGGTCAGAGACAGACACGCCCAGAGAGTCAGACTCTGAGCAGTAAAGTTTAGGGGTGGAAGACTTTCAGCGCCCACTCTGAGTGACTCATTTGTCAAGAGGAAGCCCGTTGTTCTGTTGGAATTTCCATTCATTTTGGAGCTGGAGAACGTCGGTCTGGATGTGGCGTTTAAAACCGAGGCACATGGGAGGAGTCCGCTTCCAGCCGGTGAAACACACCAGCACCAGCCACGTGACAGCTCTGATAGGATCACCTAAGATTTGAGTTCACACAAATCTTTCAGGACTTTAAGAAGTAAATTTGTTTGGAATGCAGATTGTTTCCTTTAAAGAGTCGGGCGACTACTGAAACTCTCATTTCCTTCTGCCTACTTTATTTCACCACTAATAAATGTAATGGATTTTGATTCACCGCTAGATTATAATTGTTTAAACTAGAGTTCACCGCTCTGATTTGGAGGCCAGAAGCTCGGATGTGGCTGCAAAAGGAAAATGGTGGAGGAGGAAATGGGGGGGAGCTTTGTGTCAACACAGGATTGTTTCTCAGATGTTTCACTTCTGGTCCACTACCCATAAATAGACCCACAGGCTCAAAGTTGAAACTGCATTAAAACAAAGTTATGCATGACTTGATCTGGCTAAAACTGGAATTAAAAGGTGTGATAATGAAGTTCCACTTCTGAAATCCCACATAATGTGTGTACAAACAGGAAAACAACTTCTACGCAGACTCTAGCTCCTCTGTTTTGTTTCATACCATCTTTGTTTCCGCTTGATCCGGAAACCAGATTTTGCAATTTCCTGCCTGTGAAAAACAGTGCAAGCTTTATTGGAAAAATGATTCCTATTGTCTTCACTTTGTGGCTTTGATCACAGCTATTTATTAAAGGAGACATGTCATGACCACTTTTCTTAAACAGATATTTGGCAGTTTTGCTTGCTTTTAGCACCTCCTAGTGTTCATTATTAATTATCTGTAGTCTTTATTTCTGCGTCTAACAGCTGAAATGTCTCCCCAGCCTTCATTAGTTTCTAGAGGTGTGGTTCATCACCAAATCAAACAAATCAGCTGTTAATGATCAAAAATATGCAGGAAACGTGCTAGAAGCAGACTGCAGTGCCAGGTATGTCAGCTCAATTTTTCAGTAGCAGGTGGCAGGTGTAGTGTGTCTTTAAGATGTAATAGTACCTTAAACATGTTTATAAAGTTCTTGCACTAAATCTGTCTCACATGAAGCTATTTCAGCAGTTTTATTCTTGACTGCTTCAGTTCCTTCAGTGGCCAGGTTATCCTGCCAACTCCTTCATACCAACAGAAAAAAAATTATTTGCTTCATCTGAACTCCACAAAGCACTGGGTGCAGCACACAGACGGCTATCTGTGAGCTTATTTTAACACGGAAAATGCAAATTCCGATCTCAACCATCAAGATTGAATATAAGATCTCAACTTTAAACCAAATACCTGACTCACGAGTCAGTCAAAATAAAATGTAATCAAATAGAAGAGCTCCCGTCTCCAGACAAAAGTAAGGTTCCCAACTGTTTCTGACAGGAGTGTGGCCGAGGGCACGCATGCTACGACCTGTTACAAAACAGGTTGACCTGTGACCTTCTGCATTGTTTGTTTTAAAACACGAATGAGCTGGTTTATTTGTACTAAATTTAGACATTTGTATCTACTTATATAACAATTCAGATGAATTTTAGGTTTCTCTTGATGAGTTAGGATGAAGTATCTAAATTTATTCCACCCTCTCAAATCCCAGTGCACTTAAGAGCAAACTCGTTGTATTGCTATCCAGGCTGAAGCTTGCCTTGAACAAGAAGTTTTGAGCTTTATTTTGGTCACATGACCCCAATATCGGTTCAGCTCCAAGACTGAAAACAGAACTTGTTTGTACTTGCTTGTGACACTGCCGCCTCAGGAATAATCCAAATTTCAACCCCAAATAAGTGATTCTACTACACAAGGAAACTAAAATGGATTTTTTATGGAAAAAACACATTTTGTCATTTGGCATGCAAAAACGTGAGCATAAATCTATTTGATGCTATGCACACGACTTCTAAAAAATATCAAATGGAGAGTATATGAAAAACAGTGAACCAGTGTTCTTGTTAGGAACTGGTAAAGGCACATCCCACTTTATCTCATGACTAACATCTTTTATGGTTAAGACTTTCTACCCCAAACAACAGGGAAACAAAGCTGACCTGTCACAGCCTTATTACACCACAGGATCACAAACCAAGAGCAGTTATGCTGAAGGAGGAGACTTGTGAGCAAAGAAGGGAGGGTCCGCCTGTCAAGAGAGAAATCTGACAGCAGTGCACCACTTTTACCTGCTGAACTGTCAGGGAGCTGCAGAATATGCCGACTAGCTGAGAGAGGGATTGTGTCTCAAAATGGGTGGCAATTTAAGTCAAAAGAAGAGCGTCAAGCGATCAAACTCAAGGAGGCTCTCCAAATCTATCACGTGAGTCACCTCACCAGTTTGGGGCCGATTATAGCATTAAAAATTTAAACTTTATAATTCTTTCATACATTTAAAGTTTAGCATTATTGTAAGTCACAAAAGAAATGTCCAAACATTACAAACCACACGCTACACTGACTAGCTAGATAGCGTTTGCTTTGTATTTGGTTCAGTTTGAGTGTTCAAATACTCACACGCCCTCAAACCCCAGTTGTAGATAAAGCTGAGCTCAGAGGGGCGGTGGAGTGTTTGCTCACTGAACTTACAAGAATGTGGATATGTGCTTTAGCTATCAATGGGAAAGTTGTCATCTGATTGATTCTTAAAAAAGAAGGATCAAACAGAACCAAGAAGTTACGACTGTTTACAATTTAATGTCAGGTTTGTTTAAAAAAGCAGCTTGTGGTGATTGGTTACATGACCTGTTGGGATTCGGTCATTAAAGAATCAGTCGTCCCGTAGCAGTATGCTCTCATTGTGAGAAATATAACTCTATTGTCAATATTTGCTCGAGGCGGCTCGTGTTCTCGTTGCACTGAGGGAGCCACAGCAGCAGCGGCAGCAGATCAGCTTTATGAGGGTCAGAACGAGCCACTGAGCTGTTTCTTCTAGAGTTTACTCAGTATTTTCCACACAGACCACAAGAAAATAGATTACAGAACTTTTACAAACTTTTTTGATTCATAGCAATAATTAAGTGTTTATACTGACAAAAAAAAAACCTAACAACTGGTCATGTCTTTAGCTAACAATAAAAAAAATACAGGCCCGCTGGTATTTTCAGTCTTTACTGGTGTTTTGTTTAGGTCTCAGTAAATAAAAACATCACCTTTTGGGGCCTTCCTCTCAAACACATCCTAAATCAGCGCCATGTTCAGCTATCGCTGCTAGCTGTTTCAACGCCCGGTTGTGTCGCCTCCGTCTCCTCTGATTTCACCCAGGCTTTAGGAGACGGGTTCTTCTGGGTTGTAGTACACACCAAGTCAGTTTGGTACGTGTCAGCGAACCGTTCACGTGCTTTCTCCCAGTTTTTATGAGACTTGGATCTGATCATGGACATGTCATCCACAGAGGTGACAGCACCTGCTCCCAACCCCGACTGAGACTTTCTGATTTTCAGCTCAATCTGGGAGGATGAGAATCACACACACACATTATTATGAATTACCAAAAACAAGCACTTCGATTATATTTTCTTACCGGGTTCTTCATTCCTGTTCCCTCTTTGCCCAGTCCCTCTCCTTTTTTCCAGCCCATCTTTTCTAACATTTTCCGGCCTTTATTGACTTCACTGATTTCCCTTTAAATCACAAAAACATTATAGCATTTAAAGACAGTTTGCCGATTTGCTTGATTTCAGCACCCCCTAGTGTCCATTATTAATTCACTGTTAAACCGAACATGAAACTTATCTCCTCGCTGTGCGTTTGTCTTTTTAACACCTGAGTCTAACAGTTCAAATGTCTCCTCAGCCTTCATTAGGGTCTACAGGAGTGGTTCATCACTAAATTAAACAAATCAGCTGTGCTTGTGATTTAAAACATGCAGGAATCGTGCTGGAAGCAGACTACAGCTCCATTGTGTCAGCTCCGCTTCACTCCACTCCACAGCTCCACCCACCAGCAGGGACTGGACCAGCTACTCTGAAGTTGCAAGAGCAACAGAGGATGGTGGGGTCTAAGTGACATTTCATTAACCTTATAAAGAGTTATTTTTGCACATACTGGCTCAAGAAAATTATTTAAAAATATGAAAAGGTTGCCAAGTATACCTTTAAGTGTGCCATTTCCCCCCCCCCCGGGGCTGTTACTCCAGGTACTTACTCGTGTACTGAAGCCGGAGCGTCATCTCGCTGGAAAACTCCCTCGCTGCCCACAGTCTGTCGCCGAGACTCGGCCCTGTCCTTATACCTGGGGTTCTTCAGCGCTTTGCCCTCTTCAAACTCGGTGCTCTGTAGGTGAAACAGAAATGAATGAACGCATAAACAAAACAAAATATCTTTTTTTCCAGTTAGTCTCTTACTTGCAGGCCATATTTAGCCTTCATCTGCTTCAGCTCTTTCTGTCTCAGTGACTCTTTATCCTCTTTGCTAAGGCCAGGACCTTCGAGAAACAAGTGACGAATTAACCTTGATAGATTTATTTCTCGCTTTCCACAAATGTGCTCCGTGTTCTCACCAGTGCTCTCTTCTCTCTTGTACTTGCTGAGGTGAGCCATCACTTGACCCGGCTCACACCCATCACAGGTGTCTGTTCCTGAGTGGATATGGAAGGACAGCACAGTCTCGCCCATCTTGACCTCATCACCGTGTGTCAGCAGATGTGGCTCTGATTTGGTTTTTGGCTGCAGAAGAAAGTTTTATTGATGATGTCACACATCTGCTGGGGGGGGGGGGGGGATTGTTTATAAATAAACAGAGACTATGCACTGACCTGCAATATGCGGTTGCCATTGATAACTGTTCCGTTTTGGCTCCCCTGGTCCACTAGCATGTAGCCCTGCTGTTCCTGATCAAAATACACCTCTGCGTGGAACTGCAACCAAACAGATCAAATATTTAGAAGATTTTTGCAAAAAAATATAAAAGATTAGCTTGCAGGAAAGTGGAGATGAGTACCTTGCTGACTCCCATTTCTGGGATTCGAACTGCATGGTCCATATCTTTCTCCCTGCATAGAGAGACAGTTTGGTGACCCATTTGCTTGGAGATTTTTTTACTCAAGCAACATGACTCAGCTACACAGCTGCATCATAACGCTATCCTTTTATTACAAATAACTCGTAAACCTACAATAAAAGGAACAAAATGCGGACAAACCTGCCGAACGTGGCCTGAGAGTCAGCCGTGATGATGAACAGAGTTCCCACCTGCAGCACTGGAGATCTGACCACTGTCACTCTGACGCAGGGAGGCCAAAAGCTTTTTATTGCTAAAACAAACACACCAGCAGCACTGTCACTGGAACATGTGGGCTTCAGAAAGCAACAGAATAAAAACATCAACAAATGCTCATTTCTAACATCACAGCATAAGCTACTTAAGTAAACTGGCCCCTAAAATGACCCAGAGAACACCTGTTCCTGAGTGCGTGTCAAAGCTCGTATAACTGCCCTCTCACCTTCTGGAGCCTGCACTTCCACCTCATTCGCTGGACTTTCCCTGGACTTTTTTGAACAAACAGATGATGGCGGCGAAGGGGTGGATTCCACGTCTTCCCTTTCTGACTCTGTCAGCTCCCCCTCCTCTGGTTCGCTGTTGCCCGACTCGTCACTACGAGTCTGGCTCTTCTTCTTTCTGTGCTTTTCCGACTTGGATTTCTTTCTTTTCTTTCGCGATCTGCCTCTATCCTCGTGGTGCGAGCCGTTTTTGAGCTTCTTTCTCTTCGACGACGACCGGTCCCTTTCTTCACGGTGTCTAGAAGAGTCTTTTTTACTTCGAGATGTTTTTGGGCTGCGGGACCTGCGGTGCGGTTTTTTAGATTCGACCTGGTCGGTTTCTTCTTTTGTGTGCTTTGCGTCGTCAGATTTGAGTTCCTGCCAGCAGACAGTCAGCAGTGAGAGCACCATCTCCAGTGGCAGCAAGCCAGCTGACTTTGAAATGCAGATCCCAAATCTCTTTTCCCAAAATTGGAAAGCATGGGTCTCAGACTTCAGTGATCCAAATCTAAATTTACTTCCAGATTTTGACAGTTTACCCAAGGGTTATGTTACCAAATAATCCCTTTGAACAGTGGCAGGTATGAACCTACCTGAATATACTGTCAAAGGTTTTATTACAGTTAAATATTGATGCATAAATTAAAGCTAAATCAGCTCATGTAGTAGTAAAGTTATACCTCTGTAGGAGGAAGTTTTCCAGTAAGGAGAAATCTTCATTTTAGCCAAAGAGTTAGTCACATCTTGCACCTAGGTCAGAGAAATAGTCTATTTAGTCAACTAGCCTCATTTCACTGAAAGAAATCATAATAATTTAGAAGACTGAGACCATTCAAAGTTTAAAGAACATGAGGGAGTCTACATAATCAAAAGCCAGCTTTGAGCCACCAAACAACACATTCATAACTCAGCTCCTTCATGAAGCAACTAGTGGATCCTTACCTTATCATCCTGATGTGGAGGCTTCTTGATCACTTTTTTGAACTTTCTCCATTTCTTGTCAGTGTCGTACGCTTCTTGGCTAGGCTCGTTACTGTTTTGTGCAGCAGGCATCTCGATCCTGGAGTGAAACTGATACCGTCCACTCTCTGCATCGTAGTAGTAGTACATACCTGTGCTGGCATCATAATACAACTGACTGGCCTGTGGGAGGGGAAATGACATTTAGGACTTTTAAAAAAAAAATACTAATTATCTTTAAACTGATAGCCGCTTAACAAACAGACAAACCGAATCATAGTAGAAGCCGGTGCTGTGGTCATAATACATGCCAGATGTTTCATCAAACACAAATCCAGTCTGGGTCATGGCCTGCTCAGCTGTGGCTCTCAGAATATCAGCTATGGATCCTCCATCACCCTCCTGAAACAGACAAATTAATAAAAGCTTAAATGTCAAATGAAATGCAAAATATGTGTCGAGCATCTACCCAAAGTTAGATTAGCAAATGTTTGTTTGACTCACCTCAGTCACCACGACATCACTGTTTTCCTGTGGCACCGACACATCTGTGACTGCTGCTTCATTTGCTGTCACAACCTCAGCTGCAGCACTATAATCAGTCACATCCACCGCTGCTTCTTCAGCTGCAGCCGTCACAGGGTTCACCGTTTCCTCTGGCTGCACCCCTTCCATGTTCTGACAGTAGCCTCCATAGTAGTAATTGTAATAATCTAAAAGAAAAGTTTATATTAAGCGACATTTTTTAATCACATAGTGTTTTCCTTTATATAAATGCCTTAACACACCTGCTTCTGTCCATACATAATCTTCTGTCTGAGTTTCAGTGTTTACTCGGTCTTTATCTTTCTTCTTCCGCTCATGAATCTCTGCACTCAGCTGGTCAACCTGAAGAAAATCATTTTAGGTGATTTTATTTCAAATAAACACCGTAGTTTCCTGGGTTTAGGGAGACAAGTGTTTGCTAGGGACCGACCTGTTTTCTGAGGTCTTCGTTAAAGCTCTCTGTGCTCTTCTGGAGCCGCTCGGAGTGGCTCAGTTGCTTCTGTAGCTTGGCCAGCTCTGCGCGGCACTCTTTCAGTTCTTGTTTCAGCGACGCCGCCTTCAAACGGAGCTGAGCAACTTCAGGCACGTCGGTGTCTTTCCCGTTGCTGTCTTCGTCCTCCATTAGGAGCACTGAAACAATAACATTCACCGCTCAAGTACTCATGATAAACATGGAAAAAGCCAATGCGCTTACTTATATGTCATCTAAACGCGAGTCGAGCTCCTTTCAGCCACTATTTTCTTACCGCTTCCTTCGTTTTCGTCGGCTGAGAGCGACATATCTGGTCAAAGCGGCAGAAGGCCCGACCTGAAAGTTGAAAATAGACATCTTGTAACCGCCGTGTGTGTTTGACAGAGCCGAGTACATGTTTCATTATAATTAGACAGTTACAGTTGTGACAGTTGAATTGTTTAAAATCCACCCTGTTCGCGACCGCCATTACCAATGAAAAAATACGTCACGGCGGAAGTAGTTCTTCTTCTCTGGCCTTGGTGGACTTCACATGGGATTTTGTCGCCATCTAAAGGCAAATCGAGTACACAGCCCCTTCTCAAAATGAGAGAACGTGCGTCTTTCATTTCTTTTTTGTTCAAGTTATTATTGCTTAGTCTTTTATTGTATAAAGAAAATTATGTTTGCTTGGTAAAGCTTTATAGAGTTATGTTTTAAATCTAGTACACAGCCATTTAAGTACTTTTATATATTTTATTTTATTTATTTGAGATTTGGTAAAAATGTTTTCATGATGACACAGTGATTCACCTCAGACTCTCTCTCTCTCTCTCTCTCTCTCTCTCTCTCTCTCTCTCTCTCTATATATATATATATATATATATATATATATATATATATATATATATATATAAGTGTTAGAAACTTTATGTAAAATTATTACTCTGTAAGACACAGATGTACACATAGTAACAGAACAAAGGAGTTACTGGGAGGAAACAAAAAAATGAAAGCTAAATGTGAGCAGGTAAGATAAGGAACTGACATCTTAAATTAACACATATTTATAGTCAAACTGTTTCACAAGTATTCCAAATCTAGGGATTAGTTAAACTATTTTCAAAGCTAAATTTTTTTAGAAGGTGTAAATTTTAAAATAAGCTACATTTTTTATTTCAAAGACACACAAAGAAGATGCTGACATTGTGTGATTGTGAATATAAAAGTCGACTAATTATAAACTAAGGTAGCATAAGAAATATGTATCACTGAAATAAATTTATGTATAGTGAATCTAAAATTCACACCATTTGAACAAAACTGTCATAAATGTTGTCCAAAATAAACCTACAGAGGTCTTTCACTGAACCAGAACAGATGAAGGGATGTCACTGGTTGGATATTTCCAAGGGAAATGTAATTGGCTTATTTTTTGTTATTTAAAATAAATTATTTCACTGGGTGGTGTCAATGAAGTATCTGTAAGGAGACTTCTATTAAAATAAGGTTTCTGTTTAGTCTAAAATGTTCCTAATTGGCAATTAAAATGAGAATGTGGAATTGAGAAAACCAACTGGGTTTGGATGTAAGACTGGGAATATCTTTTATAATTCACACTTTGGTCAAAGCTTTGTTAGCATTCATTCATTCATTCATTCGTTCGTTCGTTCATAAATGTATGTTTGTTTGTGTAACCGGGTCACCTTAGTTCCCGGAAGTTATTCTGGTTATACCTGTCATGCCGCTGACAGGGGATCCAGGTGTGTAATCAGAGGGCTGCTATAATTAGGGCAGCTGGGGTCTAGCTGCAAACGCTGAATGCTTCGCTTTGGGTGCAGACGTGCGTGCGGCTAAGTGGTGAGTGACCTGGCTTTGCTTCAGTTTAGTTAACGGTTATATTTTTAATTGGTTCCTCTTTACGAAGGGTGAGCAGGACTGAGGGGTGAACAGCCGGAATTTTCATTGGCAAGCGGTCGGCCGATGAGGCACTGGTTTATAACATTCACAGCATTTTTATGGTTCGTTAGAATAGGACTAACAATGCGTGTTTTGTTCACAGACCTTAGCCTGCTACTGTTTTTCCAGTTCATTTTATTAAATATTTTCTAGTTCTTTTAGTAAACCGTTTACCGGTTTTATCTTGTTATTAATCGTTTTCTCCAGAGGGGGGAGGAAGTAAACTTGTTTGAGTCGGGTGGTTAGCGTTAAGCACAGTGCTGTCTCTGGGACTACACACGCAACGCCATCTAACTATTATTTAAAAGCACAAAGCCGCTGTGGGGACCCGAGACAATAATATAAAGAAAAACACTCAGTGCTCCCTTTAACTAAAGCTCATCCACACGTCACCCAGAAGTGAGTAAAACCCCCGACAAACCCCTACAGCGGATACGCTAAAAGAAACTAGCCTCCCAGAGACAGCACTGTGCTTAACGCCAACCACCCGACTCAAACAAGTTTACTTCCTTCCCCCTCTGGAGAAAGACGATTAATAACAAGATAAAACCGGTAAACGGTTTACTAAAAGAACTAGAAAATATTTAATAAAATGAACTGGAAAAACAGTAGCAGGCTAAGGTCTGTGAACAAAACACGCATTGTTAGTCCTATTCTAACGAACCATAAAAATGCTGTGAATGTTATAAACCAGTGCCTCATCGGCCGACCGCTTGCCAATGAAAATTCCGGCTGTTCACCCCTCAGTCCTGCTCACCCTTCGTAAAGAGGAACCAATTAAAAATATAACCGTTAACTAAACTGAAGCAAAGCCAGGTCACTCACCACTTAGCCGCACGCACGTCTGCACCCAAAGCGAAGCATTCAGCGTTTGCAGCTAGACCCCAGCTGCCCTAATTATAGCAGCCCTCTGATTACACACCTGGATCCTCTGTCAGCGGTTTGACAGGTATAACCAGAATAACTTCCGGGAACTAAGGTGTCCCGGTTACATTTGTGTCACCAGAATATTGTTTCAGTCATTTTTAACGGGATCCGGTATAGATTCAAGAATACTTTTAGACCACTAGATGGCAGTAAAGAGCAGTGATTCTGATGCCTGGACAGCTGAGCTCGGATGTGAAAAAAACTGGGGTGGCTATGAAAAGGTTTAAACTTGTGAGGTTAAGATCTGACATAATCTGATGAGATGAAGTATATATCTCTTTAAAATAGTTCTACTTCTACTCATTTGTGGTTCACTGATCAGTTTGAGTCATTTTTGTCTTTGCTGTTTAAAGGATGACAACATCTCTCTCTATAAAACCTCGTCTGTTCTGTGTCCTCGCTCTCCCTCGTTCCTCCCTCACATGCAAAACAGTTCCTGTGGTCAGATTTGATTTACTTCCCACCTCCTCCCCCTCTTTTGACAGCTCTTCTTCCTCTGACCTCTTCCATCCCATCCTTTTTACAGTCATTCATATCCAGAAACATCTGGTCCAGTTGTTTTGCTTGAAACAGCCAAGTTCGAGCCTTCTAGACATATTTTAGACTTCACAGGAAGGGCTGTTACATAATCACACCCCTGCTTTGCTCTGCTGATGGGGAGCACATTTTAAGCCACGTTGACTTTCTGTCTCACACTGATGACGCTTTTTTTTGGCTCTTATAAAAGACATTTGGAGTTCCTTCTTCTGTGTTTGAAATCTGAGCTCTTCTGAGTTGTGTTTGGCTTCTGGAGCAGGGTCAGACATTTTAGCTGGTGGAGGAGAGGAGCAGCCTTTAGGTCTGAGGTGGTCTTTTATCAGGAGTCACACACAGCTGCCTCCTTCTGCTCACTGATGTTTACGCACGCCAATTTTAGACAAGAAGTCTCCAGTTTAAGAGGAGTTAGGGTTCAGAACTTTAATCCACTGAATGTCTGAGATTTTATCTTTTGTTTGGCAGAAAATGGGAACTACTTTGATTCAAACTTTATTCAGTGACACCTCGGCGATGGTGGAAAAAACAATCAGGAAAAATGTGAAATTGCTTTATTTTTTTTTTATTCTGTTATTTTTCTACAAAGATACTCAGAAACCTTACCACAAAAACTGCAAAGCAAACATTTTAAAGACCAAATTATTTCAAAACTAAGGCACAAACATGCCCTTTAAAGTGTCACTAAATGTGCATAAAAATGTGCACGCTTCAAGCTCCACCAGACTTAGGCAGCAAATGACTGGGCGGAACACTCAAACTCCACCCTTCCTGGTCAAATGTGGAAATTCTGAGTCTGACTGAGGTTTTGCTTCTTCGTGAAAATTCAGTTTATCTGCTGCAGCTGCACAAAGTATCTGGCTTACGAAACAGAAGCGTGTTGGCAAGAAATCCAAAGGAATGATCCCAGGAATGATCAGTGTTGATTTCTATTATTTGTTTTATTCTTTTCCTTTTTAAATTATGAGTGTGTGAGTTTGTTGTTGTTGCAGTTGCTCCATAGCAGTTTTAGAGGGTCTGAACTGCAGGCGGATGAGATCAGCAAATGCATTTCATTTTAACACAGATCTACCGTTGTTTAACCAAATCACTACGCTGCTGCTTGAATTTCATTTGCACTGTATGCTGATGACACACAGAATGTGTCCGGCTGACCTTTGACCCTAAAGAGCTCAGACTCAGTGACTTCTGCAAAGAATTTTAAACCTTATCTTCATGAGGCCAGTTATCTGAATCTCTGTGTGTGTGTGTGTGTGTGTGTGTGTGTGTGTGTGGGGGGGGGGGGGGGGGGGGGGGGGGGGGGATATGAATTGCAGAATTTGCTGCAGTTGATTTTAAGCCTGAATGTGCCATCTGATGGCCTGGCATTCGTGTTGTTTTTCACCTTAAGTGTGCAAATGTGTCCAGATTTTAATGAATCTGTTAATGATATTTCACAAACACACAAATAATAAAATGAAATGTTACCAAATGCACAGATAAAGTTTGATTTTTGATGCCTGTTTCTGTGAAAACAGTGGATGTCCCACAGTTGGTACATCCTCTGTCTGCCCCTCTGATGTAAACAAAAATCATGCAGTTCATGCAAACCTATAGTTTTTAATTGGAATCTGTCCTAAAATCTCTGTTTTACAGCAATTTTCTTTCACAATAAGAAACATTTGCATAAATTGGGTATATAATAGCCACGGCTTGCATCTCCACCTGTGTTATTCATCTGATCTAAGTTAAATAACTTTTAGAATCTGTTGTTATTTCTATCAGATGTTTTGGAAACTTGCTCCCGTGGTCAAGGTGTAAACGTTTATCCATCCATTTTCCTCCACTTGCCCGGGGTCGGGTCGTGGGGGCAGAGGCCCAGACTCCCCTCTCCCCAGTTACTTGGATCAATTCTGGGGGAATTCCGAGGCGCTCCCTAGCCAGCCGAGAAACATAGCCTCTCCATCGTGTCCGTGACCTCCTCCCATTTGAAAACCTCACCAGGGAGGCATCCAGAAAGCATCCTAACCAGGTGCCCGAGCCACCTCAACTGGTGTAAACTTACAAAATAATGTCCACAGCTCATGATGAATATATTGTTTAAACCATTTCCAGACAGACTGCTCTCTGACTTGTTTTAGGGTTTTAATGGTGAACAGCCAGACTATTTCAGCAATAAGGTTATGGATGTTTCTTTTTTTAGCAGCCTTAAACAGCTCTAGTGGGATGAGTGATGTTGTGTCACCCTCCCAGCTGTTTAATCAGTCTGTAAGTACAACAGGTTTTTAACCACCTAATATTGACTGTATTGTGTGAATATGTGTGTATTCACTAGTTTTCAGACTTTTACACCAGTCTGGTAATTAACCTGAGGCCACAAAACAGAACTGGTTCTCCTGGTCTCACTTGTCTGCTACTGGATGGGTTATCAGCTACAGCCTGGGGGAGGGCGAGAGAGGGAGGGAGGCTGTGGTGAATAAGTCTTTTAGATCCAAGCTCACATTCCTAACCTCTCTCTGGACTATTAAATGTGGAGCCCCAGCAGTTCAGCTCCTCCTCCTCCTCTTCCTCCCTCTGTGTTTGTTTTGTGGCTCACTCCTTCTGACTCAAAGTGGAAGAACGGTCTGACAGGGACGTACCATTCTCCAACCACAGGGGGAAGTCATCTAGCAGAGTCAGGAGAAGCACCAGTCAGTTTTACCGCCTCCACCCCCACGCCTGCGTTTTCCATCAGTGAGCTGCTCCAGGGCGGAGGGGGTTCAGAGGAGGAGAGAGGGAGCAGAGAAACCAGCTGATCAGACCTGAGGTATTCTGCTACAGAGGGAGAGTCAGCGTGACTGGAAGTGACTGAGATTGAAGATTCACAGATTGTTTTATTTAAAACAAAAAAGTGAGAGAGATGCCTCTCTTCTTTCATTGGGAACTGAGGAATCGTGAAAAGGGAAAAGCCTTGTGGGAGAATGTGAGAGCTGTTGGCTGGGAGGAGATCTGAGGAAGAGTCTGACAGAAAAGGAACAAACCTTTGGCTGCTGGGGGTCGAAGAACTGCAAAATAAGGAGAGATGTCGTGGCTGTCACCTGTGTCGTGGGCCAAATGGACGTGGACAGCAGTGCGAGGAGGAGAGGAGGATGAAGAGGAGGCTGGTGGGGATGGGGAGCAATTTGGGAGAATGGAAGAGGAGGTGGAGGAGAGATCCCAAAGCTGCAGGCAAGTGCTGAGCTGAAACCTTGGTGTGATCATCACTGTCTGGTCCTACTTTAGCAGCTTCAGGTTGAGTAACCTCTAATCATGAAGAGTTAGAGTCTGACGGGTCAGAAGGGTGTGTGTGTGTGTGTGTGTGTGTTGTGATGACTGTGTTATATTTACAAATGTGTAAATTGGTTGTGTTTTTAGAATTTAGAGATTTTAGTGCCGGCTGCTTCTCAATGCTGTCTCGAATTGCCCCTCGGGGACTAATAAAGTTGTCTTGAGTCTTGAGTTACCTCTGTTCCACGTGTATTCAAACACAACTTGGTCCTTTGCTGACCTCTCACCTGCTCAGATAGTGTATCATTGAGCTGCTCTGTTCCAACATGATGAGATCAAATCTAAACACACTTTTGTTGTGAAGACCAGAGTTGAGACAGATCCAAGTGCTTCAAATGTCTACAATAAACACTGCTTGAATTTTGCTCTGCGTTGTTCTTAGAATGTAACAGGAAGTAGTGGGCCGCTCTGCGTCTGCTTCCTCTTCCTTTGTGTAAGTTTAACTTTATGTTCTTTTCTCCTGTTCTGGTTCACAGAAACAGATAACTTAAAGATGAAGGCAAAGCTCACTGTAGGTGGATTAGATGCTATAAAAAAGTAACACATCTTGTTCTTTACACGGGGTGACAAAAACAGAACGTCCTAACACTCATGTCTCCAACCTCCATGGGAAAAAGGCGTTTTTTTACATTTTCTACTAAAATTAAATTTACATACAGACACAAAATGAACTTAGATTTAATTAAAACAAAAACCTAGCTCTAGCCCAAAACTGATCACTGCGATTTAAAACTCAAGCCTGTCACGTTGAGAGGATGGTTTGGACCCAAAATGCAGTAACCCAGGATGACACGAGGCAGAAGTGGATATGAAGTAAAAATCCTTTTATTTAGGAGGCTGGGCATAAATCCAAAAGCAACACTGGCAAAAGGAAAAACAGAAGCTCTTTCACGAGTAAGCTCAGGAGAACACTTTAGACGGACAAAAACAACACTGACAACGACAATGGACCGTCAAGAACAATGAGACAAGGAGAAGCTTTATACACTGGGGCTGGAGTGATAGGAGACGAGGAGCAGGTGTGTGGAGAACTGGCACAGGTGAAATCACTAATGAGGAGAGGAGCAGAGCAGGACACCAGACCTGACTGGGACGGACAAACAAACACACACACACACACACACACACACACACACACACACACACACACACACACACACACACACACACACACACACACACACACACACACACACACACACACACACACACACACACATACACATACTGACACACACATAAACTCATACACACATATACTGAGCTGGGGAACAAGAGGCTGGAGCTACAACTAGAGGGGCTGAGGATGACTGGATGTGACAGGACCTGGGAGGAATGATTTTAAAGGGCTACAACATAAGACACATAACAGAGATGCAGACAAAGGACACATGAGGGCGCTAAGAGAACACAAAAGGGAATCCAGAGAGGGATGGAGAAACATAATGAGACACATGGGGAAAGAAGCAGACAAAGAACACATGAGGGTGCCATGAAACACAAAAGGAGAACCTGGAGTGGGAACTGGAGGGGCTGGGGAACAAAGGGACACAGAACATGACAAAGCCATTTCAGACTGATTATGATACTGAACCAACGGAAGCTGTGCACAGCATGCCTGATTTCATGCTGAAGTAATCAGAAGTTTCACACATGCACCACAGTTCCGTGCACATATTTCAAAATAATTGGCTAAAATTAAAAGGAAGGAACCTCCAGAGCTGCAGGATGCAGCCTCCTGTTACGACTCCAGAAACTTTGCAAGATGATTACAAAACTGTACTTTTCACTTTAAACACAGATGAGTTGGAAGTCTTCATGCTGGTGATGTCATTGTTTGTTTGGTCTGGATGTGTGATTAGGGATCGTAGCATGAACATGTCCTCGGTTAGTGTCTTAGGTTACACCTCCAAGAGCCATTTCTGCTCCTGCTGCAGTTCTGCTAAAGTCTAATTCAGCTCTGAGCATCAGTAGTTTTAGGATAACCGCTCTGTCAAGCTAAACTAAACGAGTACACGATGCTCCTAACAATTATTTACTAAAGTTTCTTTACACTTTTAGGATGCTTGACCTGTTTTTGTTTTTAAAAAATCAGTGCTGCACTTTTGTGTATATTTAGGGTATTTATTTACAATATCAGTTATTTGTACACCAAACTCAAGAAAAGTTTTATCAACCTATCATGTCATAAAAACGATTACGGCCACTGTAGTTGCATTTCTCACTTTTCACACTTTTTACACATACATAGTTGATAAGTTGAAAAAATAAATAGACAATTAAGTCAATGAACTCTTTGCAGTAAACTAAAAGCTCTTTTCACAGTAACGCACACATAATAACTATATTATTACATGTCCGTAACTGTGGGATTTTCCACATTGATTATTTTACATATTTAATGCTTCAAATATTAGAAAATAGCCTTTTAATGAACATTTTGAGGCTCAAACATCTGCTGTTGTAAATCATCTCTGTTATTATAGCCCGACCATCCCTCCTCACAGCTATGTGTTGATGCTCTTGTCCTGCAGCTCAGACTCAGAGGGTCATTTTGACACTCCTGAAGCCGCAACTCCGGTCCATGCACCTCCGACCTTCCCGGGAGAGCTGGAGAATAACAACACGGATGCAGACAAAACAGGTGAGGAAACAGCTGAGCTGCGTAAGAAATACCCCAGAGACAAGCAGCTGTTGGAGATGCCAACACTGCAACACATAGAGTAGGTCCTTGTTGATGTTTCTGATGCTCAAAGGAACTGCATGAGCACTTTTTCTGCTCACGGTTGCCATGGAAACAAGAGTCTCTGATGACATTTAAATCTGATCCTATCAGATAAATAAAAGAGAAAAACATCTCAGCTGAGTTATATTTTCATGTCAAATAAAACAAATAATAATGTGATGTAAAATAAATCTGAATGTTGTCAGACTTTTTAATTTGTTTTTTGAATGATTTATTCACCAAGATCCTGCTGGTCGTTTATCAAACGTATCGAAGACCTGAGTAGACTCCAGGGTATGTTCTGTATGCTTGGTATGTGAGCAGGTATGCAGGATGGGAGGAGATTTTTTTTTTCTCGCTGATTATGGGTGTGGCGTGATCGCTTCAGATGCTCTAACACAATCATTTAAATCTCGCGGAGGTGGAGCTTGTAGCAGAGTGTGGGAATGACCTTTGCTCTGGAATCCAACAGGTTCAACAAAAGCGTTAGCGCGGCTTTGTAGTGGTCACCGAAGGAGGTCACAGCAAGCTGAACAAAAAAGTGTGCCAATGTGTGTTTTGAGGTGTTTTGTTGTAGTCTGTGATTTGTGTGTGTGTGTGTGTGTGTGTGTGTGTGTGTGTGTGTGTGTGTGTGTGTGTGTGTGTGTGTGTGTGTGTGTGTGTATGTGTGTGTGTGTGTGTGTGTGTGTGTGTGTGTGTGTGTGTGTGTGTGTGTGTGTGCACTTGTTTTTGTTTCTGTGGACATAAATTCCTACAAAGCAGCTCCAGCAACATTTTTCTGAAAGTGAAATTTAAAAAGGCCAACCTGAGAGAAGAGAAGATCCCTTCAACACTGACAATAACTTCAGTGGCCTTAAACACGTACTTCTAATATAATTAGGTTAATAAATGTGCAACAAGCATGATAACGTCCTCCATCATAGAGATGTGAAATATCACTGGTAGAATGGACTCTGCTGGTCTCCAAGCAACAGATGTTTGATGCATGACGGGCGTGCAGAAATATGCTGCAGTGTCAAAACGTCCCCCTGAGGTAATAACGGCTCCGTTTGTCATCCGCAAAACAAAGCACAAGATTAATCATGCCTTCCTTTTGTTTGTTTTCAAACACATTACCTCATCTAAATGTCATGGCCTTAGTAGGTAAAGATGTCTCCATGGCAACAGCAGGAAAGGGGAACAGTTGTCTGGTGTCTTCAGAGAACCAATCAGATGTGACTTACACATGAGTTTGGATGTGATAGGTACTATGTACTGCTAGCTTCAGACATGTGTGTGTGTGTGTGTGTGTGTGTGTGTGTGTGTGTGTGTGTGTGTGTGTGTGTGTGTGTGTGTGTGTGTGTGTGTTAAGTTTCTTTGACATATTTAGAATATTTCCCTTTTTTCCTTCTCCAGTGTCGGAGCAGGAGGACAACCTGATAGTGACTGCTCCTGTCACTAATTTGAACCACAGCATGGGTCAGGATGAGCCTGTGGTCTCCATGGATAGTCCGCTTGAAATTAAAGTCCAGAATCTGGTAGAAGAGGCAGTAGAGCAACATGAAGAGGAGCTGGAATCCTTTCCTGTTCCTGACTCATCCCTACTGCAGGAGCTGGCCCAGTGCACAGCTCTGCTCTCGGAGACATCCCTAGACAAAAAGCTCTTCCATGCTGCAGATCCAATCCCAGATCTGGCTCCTGTTTTATATCCAGATTCTGCCTCAGAACCAAACTCATTACGAAGTATTGAACCTGCAGCTTCTCCTCCTTTAGAGCTTCCTCGGGAGGAACCTTCTGTTGATCCAGAGACGCAGCACCATGCCCTCCCCAGCCACGAGGAGCCTGCACAAAAGACTAAAACTAGCAAGTCCAAACCTCCATCTTTAGAAATAAAGGCCCAAGCAAATCACCTTCTTCAGACAGATGAGGAGCAAGAACTTTGTGCTCCCAAGGCTACTTACAGCTTTAACATGGACCAGTTGGATGACAGCTTCAACCCCTTCACCAGTGGTGGATCTAAAATCCAGAACTCCCCTCCACCATGTGGCCCAGGCTCCCTCCCCAGGCCGGAGCCTCTTGGCAGCTCTTGGCCTATTTCTCAGGCACAAGCAGATTCAGACATGATTACTCCATCATCAGAGGCAAAGCCTGTGGTTCTGGAGTTTGGACTGGATGATGGAAACATCAGAAAGCCCCCACCAAAGAAGTTAGGAGGCAAAAGGACAACCAGCAAACTGTCTGCAAAGAAGCAGAAGCCTAAAGAACCAACAACTTCTTGCAAAACTGAACCACAGCCTTCAGTGTTAGAACCACATCCTCAACCAACATCAGAAATGCCTCCACAGCCTGTGTTGGATTCAGAATCAGCAGTGACAGACTCCTCTGCCCCGCTGAACCTGGATGACGTTCCCATCCCTAAATCTGGAACCTACAACACTGACCCCAGTAAGTGGGATGATCCTAACTTCAATCCATTCGGAAGCAACAACAAGATGAGCAGCTCTCCTGTGCTCCCCAAGGGCTCGTACAGCTTTGACTCCATCAAAAACGATGGCTCTGTGGACCCTTTTAAACCATCAAAATCCTTGAGCAATGATGATGCATCCTGCAGCATCTCCCAACCCGAGACCGACGTAAATGACGAAGACAAACAGAGAACAAGACAGAACCCCGGGGGGAGGAAGGGAAAGCAGATTCCAAAGAAAAACAAAGAGAGGACAACCGCGTAAGTGTCCTTCTCGGTGTTTGAAAACATGTCAGATAAGACACAACATCCTCCTCACTTTATCTCCTTCATCTTGCCATCTTTCCTCTTGTTGTGGCGTGCAACCCCCGCTTTCCAATCCTCTGCTTTTGTTTGTCCACTTCTATCAGCCTCAGGACATCTGAGCAAGCCAAGTTTCTCTGTTTTCTGTTGTAAGTACTTTTACTATCAAAGCTCTGTTTCTCTCATGCATTCTGGCCTCTCACTGTAATCTCACTGCGGCATGAGTTGCATCATGTCTCACAGCTGCAGATGCACACAATGAAGCTTATTGTCCTCCTCACCTTGCTAAAAAGACTGTCCATTCATGCATTAGCTACTTCATTTATTCTATCTTCATAAGTAGTTGTGCAGCATTAGCATGATTACCCTTGTGTTGCTTAACTTCATTTGATATCCATCTTTGCAACAAGATATGTGAATGTGAGACTTTAGGCTTCAAACTCTTTTATCTTTGCAGGAATTCCTGTAAAGTTCAGAAATATGACGAGAGCGAGTCTTTGGTCCTCGATGTGTGCAATCAGGTAATCTTTGTGTGTGTTCCTGCGAGAGTTGCTAAAATGCTTTACCTCACTGGGGTAGCACTGCAGTGTGCATTAGTCAGCAGCTGTCCAACCTCTTGGCCTCAGCATACACACACCTACACACACACACAAGCTGGCAGGGACATCAGCAGAGCCTCCAGCTCTGCGGTACAGCCTTGGCATAGTGACAGATGCATGACTTATCACTCTGCAGTCAGATATTAGTCTGGTGCTCTGTTGGTCCCTCAACAATATCACCTCTGTTATCTCCAGGAGGAAGACTCTGCAGCCATGGGAAACCTGAGAGGCTTTATTATCGTTATTATACCTTCTCTGTTGCTTTAGAGCTAATTTAATGAAGTCATGGTGCACTAGAGCATCCTCACCATTAGTCCTCCGTTTGTGTCACGATATTTGACATTCTTTGCAGGAGTGCTAATTAGGAATGGTTTGCGATGATTCTTGTTTGTACATTGAAACAGTATAAACAAAAACCAAACACAAAGACACAAAAATGGGATACTAGAAATACCAGAGTAAGGAAAGCCGTCAGGTTCAAATACATCACACAATGGAAACGTTTTAAAGTTTAAACAGGGCATGAAAAGTTGTAATGTGTGTGTCTAAATTGGCTTTTTGACATATTTTACTGTTTTTTACAAAATTGTAGTTTAGGTTTACTTACCGGTACTTAAACCTTTTTTCCTAGGCAAACACATCAAAGCGTTTGCATTTTCATATCATATGTCTCGGTGTGTGTCTCGTTGCTAAAGGACTTAGTTTTGTCCTCAAATCTCATTTAAACAGAGCTGTCATTTCATTTTAGCTGATTATTTTATTTTCATCCTTCCTACATAAGCCAGACTAGAGTCACACAAACTGAAATATGTGACATTTTTGCTCCTCACCATTCAAGAGATTTCTAGACACAGCTAAAAAGTGAGACAGTACTCGTGTCTTTATTTTACTCATCAAAATGTAAATGATAAGATTAAATCTAACATAAGTTATTTGTTGTTTTCTTATCTCCAGAGCGAGGATGAGGTGGTGGTTCAGACCCCAGAGATTACTCAGCAAGTTCATCATGCCACTGATGAGGAGAAGCTGGCTTCCACAGGCATGATGGTCCAGACTGCAGATGGCCAGGAGGAGAGAGAGGAGGTGGAGTGTAACAAAGCACCAGTGAAAAGGCAGCCATCCAGGGATGGATCTGTTCTGGATGGTGAGTTCAGCAAAGACAAGTGTCCTCAGAGAGGATCACACTGCACTTAAGGTCATTATTAAGCTTATTGTTCAAAATGATTTTTATATGAAAAGAAAAACACGCTAGAGGAAAGCAGTGAACATTTGGACTGCTCCTTGACTGTGGTGCCCATACTAGAAATGTTTTAAGTTGCAAAAGTGTTATTTTTAACTCCAACTTCTGATTTGGGTGATCAATGAAATCCATTGTTATTATTTGTTGCTGAATTACATGTTTTACCTCCTTAAAGGTCCAGAGATCAAGATTACAGGCCGCCTGGAGGAGAAGGACACCTTGAAAGACGATCTAGTGAGGAATATTATAAATAATTCAACACTTTAGGTCTTTTCCAACTGCAACAAACTGTTCCATTTTCTTTTATACAAAAGATGAATTAGTGAAAACTTGGCCTGCGTTGTACAGCACACACATTTCAGTCTGACTGCGTTTTTCTAAAACTACAGAAGAACAAATTAATGCTCTTTCAAAACAGTTCCTGGTACAAATGTGTGAAATAGGCAGCATTTCTTAGCATTTTTGAAATGCATGTTTTAAAATGGCAAAGATTTATGTAATGTTTCTGGTATTTATGTAGAATGAGAAACTCCTGCACCAAACTGCTAAAATGAGCAGCGGTGAGATCCCTGACTCAGCAGCTCTGTCTCGGGATGAAGTCCTTCTGAGTGAGATGGACAAGGCTGAGGTGCTCACCCTGATCAGAGAGGAGGTACTTAAGCCTCACACACACACACACACACACACACACACACACACACACACACACACACACACTGTTCCCCTGTAACCTTTTTTATTTACAAAAACAGATCATCACTAAAGAGATAGAAGTGGGTGAATGGAAGAGAAAATATGAAGAAAGCAAAACTGAAGTGATGGAAATGAGGTATGAAGCTTGTGCTCTGTCCTGTTTCAAAAATGTATCTGATTTACAAAACAAAGTTGACCATTTGCTTCTGTTCAACAGGAAAATTGTTGCAGAATATGAGAAGACTGTGGCTCAGATGATTGGTGAGATGCTTCCACCTGGTGGTGGGATGTTTGGCATCATTTTAGTCTTTAATAAATAATGTGTTTAACCCTCTCAGGCTCAAAATAAGTTTTGATAAAAGGACGAACAACTAAGTCCTTCAGGGGTACTTCTGAGTTAAAAAATGCTCATGAAGTACGTATGTGGAGTAACCAGGTAGGTTTTAACTGTTGCAAATCTGCAACGCCTGCCTCCAGAGGGCTAATGCAACACACTAGCCTGGCCTGCCAGAATCGTGCTCTGTTTAACTCTACACAGAGAACTGTGCTTTCCATAAGGAAGCATGGGGATGGCTGGTCAGGCTAGCATCACACAACATATAAAACTATTTTAAGATATACTCCGTCTTTAATGTGAGTGACACAGAAAATACACAGTTGGTAAGATGAATTGTGAAAATCCATTTTAATGTTATTGCTTTGTTCTGAAATTTGTTCAAATCAACTTATCAGTGGGTAAAGCTCAGTCGTATCTTCATACTGTCAGCCTGTTTTGTATTTACTGACTCTTTAAAGAACTTGACTGAAAAACACAAACAGACTCCCCGTTAATCAGCTTTTTCTACATCCTGTCAGACCGACGTTGCTTCAGGCTTTACCTCTTATTTTCTTGACCTTTCACCTGCACTTGGGTCTTCAAGAAGTAAAAGAAGCACGTTATCACTTATCAGGCAAACTAAGATCAGGTTTCTGGGCTATGTTTATCCCAGAAAAATAAATCAGTTAATCTCATCCTGCTACACCCATTACCAGTTCAACATGTAATTGTTGAACTGGTAATGGAACTGAACAGAAACTGGAACCAAATACCAGTAGGTTATTGGAAGTAAAATCTTGACTTCACTCTTTGTCTCCCATCAGTCTGTAGTTGTATTTTGAGCTTCTTTTAAAAATAAATTTCTGTAAATTTGCAATGTTTTGCTATGAATAATCACTATCCTACCTGTTTTAGATAGCTCTCTGGTTAGCTTCTGTTCAGATAAATTGAATAATCATCTTACAGGATCAATGAGCTAATGGCTAGTTTGAGTCTGGCCAAGATTAAAGGGTGTTGCTGCCTTTATCAAGTAACACTTAATAAGTTTCCCACTTCTCCCTTCTGGTTGAAAGTGGAACTACAACTGTTGTAAAATACCCTGCAGCAGCCTGCTGTAGCTAGCACTAACAGCGAGCTAACAATAACTCAAGCCAACTGATACTTAACAATCAAGGCAAATAGATCTACATGGTTGGACAAAAAAAGTGCGTTATTACTTACAGGTCCAGTAGCAACAAAGCCAGGCCATCATCAGTCTGTGATTTCATAGCCTCCTTCAGCTCCCTCAAACAAGTGTAACCCGTGCTCATGTTCACTCTGGTTTAAGGACTTTACATCACCTCCAAATACATTATTTTCTTACTTTTACTTCCAGGCTCCGCCATGATGCCAACATAAAAAAGCTAAATTCTTCTTCTTGTTGTACTTTTCATAGGCGGTCAGCGAACTAGAACAGCTAACTGCTAGCCTCTATATACCGCCACGGCTGCATGGTGGCGCAGTTGTTAGCACTGTTGCCTTGCAGCACGAAGGTTGCAGGTTCGAAACTCGGCTGCGGCCTTTCTGCGTGGAGTTGCGTGTTCTCCCCATGCATGCGTGGGTTTCCTCCGGGTACTCCGGTTTCTCCCACAGATCACAACATGCCCTATAGGTTATAAATTGTAAGTTCCTTTGGATAAAAGCGTCTGCTAAATAAATAAACATAAACATAAAACATATAGCCATAAAGCAGGTAGAGACACCCCACTACCAAAATGGTCTGTGTTTGTACAGCGCCTTCTTAGGGTTCTACAACCCCCCCAGGGTGCTTCACAACACAGTCATTCACCCATTCACAAGCGGGTGGGGATGAGCTACAATGTAGCTACAGCTGCCCAGGGGCGCACCGACAGAGGCGAGGCTTGCCGAACACTGGCACCACCGGTCCCTCCGACAAGATGAAATTTGTTTACAGTCTTTTTCCGAGAAAGCCAACTCTGCGCATGTTCAACCTATTTAATCTGACAGAATGCTTGGTGCATGTATACTCACGACATGATTGGATTATTTTAGTTAATGTCCATGTGAACAGAGATTTGGAATTTCTGATCAACCAAGATTTGAATCAGATTGGGAAAATTTGGCGCATGTAAACATAGCTACTGTCAGATTAGGAGAAAGACTGGGCTGGATTACAAAATGCTTTTACCCACTATCTAACTCTGGGGAATGTGGCAACAGACTAAAATTCACTTAGGGGTGGAATATTCCTTTAAAACAGCTCCCAACTCCTCAAGTTAACAGGGATTCATGCAAACCTATTTTTTTGCATTACAGTCAATTCAGCAGAAAATATTGAGGAACTCCTTACAGTAGATGCTCTGGAAGCAACAAGACACTTGTTCTTGACTGCCTAGCCATTAGCTCATCAATCCAATGGAATATAAATGCTCTTTCCCTTTACAGAGGCCATTCAGTAGGCCTTCTACAGCACATACAGAAACATACCTCTAAGTAGACTAAACATATCTGTAATTTTCCTTTTATTTGCTTACAGAGGATGCACAGGAGCAGAAAAGCCTCTCCTGTAATAAATCAGTCAGGCAGTTGACTCTGGAGAGGGATCAGGCTCTGGCTGACCTCAACTCAGTGGAGCGCTCCTTTGCTGATCTCTTCAGGAGGTATGAGAACATGAAGGGGGTCTTGGAAGGCTTCAAGAAGGTCAGTAGGAATCCTTGGAGATTATGTGCCACTTTACATCAGAGCAAGACCTCTTGATGGGCTTTAAATGTGTTTGTCCAGAATGAAGAGGTACTGAAGAAATGCGCTCAAGACTATCTGGTCCGCATCAAGCAGGAGGAGCAGAGATACCAAACCTTAAAAATTCATGCTGAGGAGAAACTGAACAAGTAAGGTTCATCTGATGCAATTTGAGATCCATTCATTTGAATGCAAAGTTATGTGGTTGTAATTTATCATCTTCCCTCTCTCCAACAGAGCTAACGAGGAGATAGCCCAGGTGCGGGCCAAGGCCAACGCTGAAAGTGTGGCACTCAACGCTAGTCTGAGGAAGGAGCAAATGAAAGTGGAGTCTCTGGAAAGAGCTGTCATTCAAAAGGTGAGGAGGCTGCACCGAGACAAATCACTTTCAGCAGACTTTGCTGGTTTGTCTTTGAGTTTGAAAAAAAAAAGACATCGACTGAGTGGGTTAGGTATAAGTCAGCTGTGGTAAGTGGGAATTATCACAGGAAACAATTAAAACCTCTGTTACAGTTTGATTTTTAATCATAACCCAAACAATAGGATAAAATAAGTAAATAAATAAAATATTTGCATTTCTGCAACAATAAAGTTGAGATTAATGTTTCTGTTGATTCTGTTATGGTCAGCCGTTGTTCCAGAAAGTATCGCGGGTAGGCAAGAATTCCTTTTCCAAGCTTTATTCAACCTGCGTCGCAGAATTAGGCATCCCTACTTAGCACTTCTTCTCTCCTCACTCACATACTTACTTCCTATCCTAGGCTGCCCGCTGGTGGTGCACACAACCGATTACATTGATTAAACTATTTAGAAATACTTTATTTAATTGTGACGCTTAAAATCTTTGTGATTTCAGAAAAACACATCTCTCTAAACACATGCATAGATCAAACGCTAGGGGGCAGTGTTTACTTTTAAAACACCAGAATCTAATTGAAATGGGGAATACTGAAACAAACTTCAATCCTCAGAAATGGAGGGAGACCTTGTCTTCACACCTGTGTGTTCCTGTGCAGAAATGCCTGTTTTACCTCTGTTTTTCTTTTCATCTGTTTCTCTCAGAATCAAGAAACTGAGGAGCTCACTAAGATCTGCGATGAACTGATCGCCAAATTGGGAACCGAATAGGAGACATTAATGAATCTCTGGTGCCTCCTTTCAGCTGTAACCATGAACTCAAAGTAAAGTGACAAGAAATCAGTTCATGAGAAAAATTTGGGCAATCAAAACTTTTTATTTAAACACATAAATGTATTTTTATTGAAATACATCATGGCTGCACACATAATTCCCATTCAGACTGAAGTATTAAACTGAATTATATTTTTCCATCATAGGAACCATTTATAGAAACCACAACATCACCATGAGGTGTATTTTTTATTACTTTTATGCGGAGAAAATGTGTTTCATGACTGTTTGGTTTGAGATTATTGTTTATAATGAATCCTATTATAAAAAATTGTAAAGAATGCACATACAATTTCAAATACTGGTCATGTTATTTAAAATATATGCATTCAAATCAACGATTTTTATCATTCATACTTCATGTGTGCAGAGATTAAGGGAAAGAAGGTGCAGCTAGAGAGCACAGATCTCACTGCAGCACATTTAAACTGTAATTTTCTGAATGATAATGTAATCAAACATCCGTACTGAGTGCCTAAACCAACTTAACACTATTAGTTTTTTGGTTCTTGCATATTTTTTTCTGCCTTTTTCTGGGCGATTGACTCACATTCAAGAAGGCTTTGAGTTTGTTTTTTATTTTGTTTTCATGTCTGCTCTCAGATATCAAGAGCTTTGCAGTTAGATCACAAAACAAGCGTTAGGTCCTGCAAACCTGAGTGTGACATGCCTTGCAGAGAACCGTGTATTACATCCAGCTGTGTAATTTGTTGCATGGACGTAATTTTCACTTTAGAAGTGGGGGGGACACGGGGGGTGTATCTTTACAGTATGCTCTAATGGGAAACAGGCTTCAACACAAACGGTTGTTTTCCGCTTGGTCCTAGAGCTCAACCAGTGTCAATTTAACATAGCGTAATATTGTTTTTGGATGGTAAAACATGCAGGGGTCAAAACTTGACTTTGGAAAAAGTGGGGGGGGACATGTGTCCCCCCCCCCCCCCCCCCCCCCCCAATTTACGTCCATCATTTGTTGTAATATCAATCATGTGCCATGTCAGGTTTTACTGTCACTCTGTGTTGAAGTATAGGTAACATTAGCTGCAGCCATGTAACTATTACAGGTTGTATTGACATTATTTCTGTTAGATGTTGATGGGGTAACTTTTATTTTCCTTTCACGCATTTCTGGATTATTTTGCCAAAACATGCGGTGTGTTTCCTGCATGATAAGGATATTCTGGACTCGTAAAGGAATCTGCAGGTGTACGGCCTTGTCCGTGGTGTTTTTGGGAGCACATGTTCTTTATGCAACAGTTTCCTCTTTGCTATCTAACATGTTCTGATCTGGACTTGAAGGGGTTTTGAAGCCCTGTAAGGAAAAATGATTATTTTTACTCCTGCACAATCAGATGCCAAACATCAAGGTAAAATGATGTTGATGTGACTCCATGTCTGTTATAGTGGTGCCACATTAGCTCAGAGCTGCTCTTCAAAGCACATCCATTGTTATGGTACAATGTGTATATTTTGTATTTTATGACAAGAACATTCGGAGCTTTGTTGCAGATATTTGTAAAATGTAAGAGTGAAGTACGTACCAATTGTATGTTGTTGGTTATATTTTGTGCATTCCTAAATAAATGGGTATGAATTAATAAATGATCTTTGTCCTTTTTTTCACAACTATTTAAGCTGCAAAGTACAAACCAGTCCACTTTCCACACGTGTAATGAGAGACATGCTGATGATATTTCATATATTATAATATATTATAGTTTACCACTAAACAAAAGTCAAATGTCGTACTATTTTTCTTACACCAACAGTGTCATATTTAAAAGTATCTTAACATTGGAAACATCTTGTTTTAGGGACAAGAAGCAAAAAAAAATCCCCTCTTTTTTTTGCATCTTTTATGTTTTATGTTCTCAATTTTTTTTATTCTCATCTGAATTTGAAAAGCTAAAGTTCTTATGTCGTCCATTCTTATTTTGAATGTTTTTTTTGTCTGCTTCAGAATGATCAGTTCTAGATGTTTATTAATCTAGTTAATATTAATTTCATTTCATATTAATTTGTATATCATTCCTTAGAATAAGTGTCTCTTTATGGGCTCATAAAATTCATATTTGTTTTTGTAATTAATTTAATTGAAAAAATGAAAACATCTGTGCATGTGAGACAAATAGATTTAGAATGTTGTATTAATGATACGTTTACATCTGCAACATCCCTCGCTGCAGCTTCTGGTCTGTTGACAGTTGTCTTCATGCATCTTGTGTATATTTTTGCAGTAAATTGTAAATTTGTGTTTTTCCATTAAATGTTTGTGCAGAGATCTGTCAGTGTTTTTATTAATGAGACACTTTGCAACTTTTTCATATTTTTAAATAATTTTCTTGAGCCAGTATGCGATAAATAGACTTTTTGGGGGAAAAGTCCATCCAGCCCCTATCTCTCCCTTGGCCAGAATATTCCATTTGCAACTTCAGACTGGTGGCCGCTCTTATAGGAAATAGAAAATAACTGGGCTAACATACCTGGTGCTGCAGTCTGCTTCCAGCTCATTTCCTGCATGTTTTAGATCATAAACAAATGGATTTGTTGAATTTAGTGATGAACGACTCCTGTAGACGCTATAAGGCTGGGGAGACATTTCAGCTGTTTTAAGGTGTTAAAAAGACGAACGCACAGTGAGGAAATTTTCTACAAATGGACACTAGGGGGTGGTAAAAGCAAGCCAAAACTGCTTAGTTCCCTTAATATACCACACATCTTTCGTTTTCCCTACACTTCGTGGTGCCTTTGCGGGTTTTCATTAAAAACCTAAAGTTCAGGAGGGCACTAAATGATGTCACTGTTTACCAAAAAGGCCAAATCTCATTTAAAATTCATGAGGATGTTAACAAAGTAAAACATGCTGGTTTCCTCATTTGTTTATTTATTTATTTGTGTTTGTTTTTTGCTTTGGAGGGGGGAGGGTAATAATTATTAATATGCATAATTTTTCACCAGTGAGCATTTAACTTTTTGCTTTTCAATTGATCATTTATCAGGAACAATAAAGTAAACAGCCAGGAAACCAGCTCCTTGTCTTGCTGCTGCCACGTGTGCGGCTGTCAGCTATGCTGTCTTCATGGGAACTTTTGGGAAAAACAGCTGGAATTAATTTTCCAAGGAATAGAAGACTCTCCCACATTATCAGCTAGCAGCAGTGAGGTCAACGCTACAAGCTGTCAGTCAAATAAATCAGAGTAATATAATTGGATTATTAATAATCAATAGTTGTTTTGTTTTAACTGAGTTTGAACCAGTGCTTGTGGGTTGACACTGCCCTTTTGGCTAGCTCAAAAAGACCCAGGGGGTGGTACTTCTGAGAAAATTATTTTTTCTAACAAAAGATGAGGGCCAACTAACAAACTGACTTCCTGGATGGTAAAACATCCTGAAAACTTTATCTGTAACATTTTCAGCTCATCACGAGGCAGTGATGATAAATGAGGAGGACAGAAAGAAGAAGCAGGACTTCTGTTTTGTAACCCTGGTGATTGGGTTGGGGAGGGCGGGGTCAGGATGCTGAGGCGGCCTCTGATTGGCTGTCACGTGTACCGTGGTGTGGACGGTGACGAGCGCAGCCAGCTGTGAGGGGAGCCCTGGAAGAAGAAAAAAAAAACAGTCTAGAAAGTACTTAAGGGACAAAGAACCGCTGCCTCACACCCCATCCTCTCCAACAGGTTGGAAACCTCGTCTCGGTCAGCGCGGTCTGCTTGTTCTGTAAGTTTTCTCTTTCTAAAGTTCCTGTCCGAGTCTTGACTCGAAGGGTTTTCGCATGTGCACGATTAATGTGAGTGATCCTCAGGTGTTATTATTGAATTCAGTTCTGTCACCCACTATAATATATTAACGACTTAAATCTGATATTTTAGCCACATAAACACACATATTATAATCAGTAAATGGGCTAATGCAGTGGTTCTGCAACTTTTAGTAACGAGAAGCACCTCAGATACACAGAACCAGGTCTCAGTCTGGTGCTTTTTATTTTTGCACCTAGCTGCAGATTACATTAAAACCAGTTAGACTGATACAGGTGAGTTTCTGTAGAGGATCAGAAAACAGGGTTTTCTACACAAGTCAGAGGGTTTGACTCCTCATCCCTGCAAACAGATGTGTGTGAATATCACCAGACTTGTTTCAAAGGGTATTTTAAGTGTTTGTGAACGCTCTTTACTGATCTCTGAAAGGCGTTTGTGTGTGTTTCCTGCTGCAAATATGGGAATATTTGTTCTGAAATCCTCCATTGATACGTTCACCTCAGTCTGAGAACCATGGGGCTAATGCAGTGTCATTATTTATTTGCATCAAAAATTGAAAGCAATATTTTGTTGCAGAAAACAAATCTTAGCTACTGTTATCTGTAACTTGTTCATTCACTTTCATTTTGTTAAAATGCACAAACACAGAGCTGAACATTGTCCTTATCACTTTACCTGCATAAACCAAAGAGAACATTTATGAATCCATTCTATTTGCAGGCAGAGTAAAAGCAACATTTAATCGTCTGTTTCTATGAACAAAAAAAAATCAGAGGGAAAATATCCACACAGGTCGTTGTGTGTGTTTTTTAATAATGAAGCTATTATGTTGTTGTATCTGGACAAGATCCCTACAGTCCTCAGGGGTGACTATTTTCATGCAGTGGCTGTTCCTAATTTCCTCTGTGAATATTTTTATTTTAGTGAGATGTGGTGGGATTCCCTCCCCACACGTTTGTCACGACAGTGAAACCAAAGTTAAATTTGAGGTTGTAGTATTATTTTTGCTTAGTTGTCGAACGAATGAATTCACATCAAACTGAAACATGAAAATTGACAAAACAGACATTGTTTCATTCAACAAATAATTTAAAAGCGGTTCAGCTGATACAGTTAAACCGATGAGTCCATCTGGGGGACTGGCCCACGTTTCCGTCAGCCTTCAGCCTCCCCAGTGGTGTTTAGTTTAATGACCTTTACCTTGGCAAGTGTTTATTCAAGACTGTATAGTTTGTTGGACTTTCTCTATGACGTCAAATTGGAAAGTAGGCCCTCCTCATTCCACACTGGATGTTGAGGTCTCCCGGTTGTCTCCATGGCATTCCTTTATCCCCGCTAGGATCTCGGGTTCCAGTGTTTTTCATAAAATATTAAGATTGTCTCTGATGTGAAGTTCAGAGAGTTCAGCTCAGTCTGGAGGCACCGATCAGCAGATGAAGACAGTAGCCGCACCCTCCCTGCTGAAGCTCAGATTTACACTTCATTAGGCTGTCAGACAGATAAAAGCAAGTCTCTTAACCTTTATGTTTACCTCCCAAGCCTTCACAAATTCTTACTTTTTGTGTATTTTTACTAAAAAAAAATGTTTAATTTGAAGTATGAGCAACAGCAATTCCCAAATATAAGTGCAATAAATTAATTATATATTATAGATAAACCACTTTTTTCATTTTTATGAGACATTTTCTCTACATTCAGTTGATTCTATTGGTGGTGAGTGCTGCATGTATGACTGTGGTTGTACTGGAGCCAGATAACGATGGTCAAACCACACTTTTCTAACGATTCCTCCTATTTTCTAAAATTTAAACATGTTTAACTCTTTGTAGTCCGTAAAAGTGGCTGATGGTAACAGGAGTTTTTCATTTTATCTCCCTTCAGAATTTTTTCTTCTCCCTTGTTCTCTACGATGTTGAACCCACTTAGCATCAACTGTCTTGTGTTGGCCTTGCTGTGCACGTGGGCGCTGTGCAATGCTCAGTCAGACTCTGACAGCCCTAAAATCCAACTCCGTCTCGCGGGGGAGAAGAGGAAACACTACGAGGGCCGAGTGGAAGTTTTCTACGACGGAGAGTGGGGAACAGTGTGTGATGACGACTTCTCCATCTACGCAGCCCAAGTAGTATGCAGGGAGCTGGGCTTCATGGATGCCGTGTCCTGGCTGCCATCAGCCAAGTACGGAAGAGGGGAAGGTGAGAAAAAAGTGTCTAAAGGTGTAAAAAATCAAATCAAAATTGCTTCACTGTTTAAGAAGTGAGGCGGAGGACACAGGATGTGGGTGATCTGTCAGCCGTCCAGTGGCATGTGTTCAAAGTAAGCATACCTTTGCTTGCAGTTCCATCTGATACGCTCCGTGGGAATGAATGAGGTAGAGGTTATTCCCCATCTGACTCTCAATCCCCCTGTAGGCACTGGTTTCCTCGTTAGACACGAGACGTGAGCTGGAGCACGTCAGTCAGCTCAGAGCAGGGAACGACTGGAAACAGTAAACCAGACACACATTGACGTAATCCCCCCCCTCCCCCCCGTCCATCGCCATAGAAACACAGAAGTTTCCAACTCTGTGATTGTGAAGGTTGCTGGTGGTGACTGCATGGCAGTAGCTGTAAATTCAGACAGCTCCCTGTAGCCACATACTTCTGGGTGGGTTACGTGCTGTCAGCCACTTCAAGGTCTGCAGATTACCAGTTTTCTGAAGCTCAGCAGACTTTATGGAAATTCTGATCAGCACGGTTACGCAGACATTATTAATGGATTTAGATATTTTATGTCAGCATGCACAGGAAGCCAGATGTTTGCAGATCATTATGATTGTGACTGAAGTACATGACGGTCTGCTTTGTG